AATATGGTTTAAAAAGCATTGGGGACTCTTGGATCCCCAAAGAAAATCTTCTGGAAATACCATTTCAGAGGGAACTGAAAAAGCATTTCATGGCACAGGTTATTAGATTTTTGCTGAGAGAGGTCATAACCCTAAGGCAAACCCCTTGATTTGATATCATTAAATACTTTTTAAGTGAATAAGTTTTCTTTAAACCATTCAATAAAACAGCATACATTTGATGTTTATACACAACTAAAAAAATCTGCCAAAATTAGGAGAGTTTTAAAACTTCATAGGTGTATTTCATTTCTTCTCAGTTTCTGGTCTTTAAGGGACCATCCACCTGTTAAGTGTCTACTGGGTCAGAAGGTGCTTGCTGTGTCTTCACGAGTTGTCATTTAGCACAGAGATGTGCTTGGCAGTATGATGAGAACCACTGCTCTCTGCTTGGGATAAGCAATTGAAGGTTTCTTTGGGTCCAGGAACCTTAATTATTAAACTACCTTAAAGTTGGTCATCTCATTGTTAAAATTCAGAATAGCTTGTCTACAGTATGGGTATTTGTCATGATTTGGCTCCCAGGAAGCAAACAGCATACTAGCATATTTCTCACATTGAGTAAACACTAACAGGTGGAGGTAGTGATGGTAAAGCTCTTTTTAAACGGTTAGAAATACATCAGTGTAGTTGGAGACTGGGTCAGTAATCCAAGGAGTCTGAGAAGCCGAAGAGCATTCCGAGAGTTTCTAATAAACTATGTAACAGGCAGCTGAAGAGAACTGATTTTAAATAGCTCTCCCAGTACTGTGACCCTAGTGAGGATCCTGTAGAATTCTTCCTAGGGATTAAAGTCTTTAAAAAGCCTCTGTGTGTGTGTGTCTGTGTGTGTGTGTGTGTGTGTGCGCACGCGCACTCCCTTTTCTAAGAACTTGAAATTATGTGGTAGGGTCACCAGAATTACTGAAATTTTTCTTTAGGTTGTGGCACTATTTCAGTATTGCTCCTGTTGGGGAGGGGGGCGGTTAACTGATCTTTAAAGAGTGGGGAAAACTCGGCTTATGTTAAATTTCTAAAATGCAGGGACCAGCTATAAGTGGTATTTTGGGGCTTTTTTGTGTGTAAGAACTTAAATATGATATGCAATTGTTCCTATCTGTCATGCACAAATGCTCTTATACAAAGTGCTTCACAGTTTTTTCCCTGAAAGCATAACCTCCTGTAAGGTGTTAGAATGTGTGTCATAAAAGGTTTGATGAGACAACTGCTCCATTACTGTACAGCCTCTTTACAAAAAAATCATGATTCCTTTTTTGTTTGTTTACAGATGACTGAATATGTTCAGAGGAAGATATCCCCATATTTCAAAATGAAGCTATCTATAAACAAAGTATTTATCTACCTACCATTTTCATAAAAGACACCTTTTTCCATAATTTGTGTAGAAATTAAGTGTAGTTCTTATTGGTATAGAGGAACAGGGAAGGGAATTAGCTACTATAATCCTTAAACTCTGCATTTAAAATCTTTGAAATAAGCCCAGAAGTCTTGCACTTGTGTGTTTTCAGAATAAAACAAGAATACCAGTCTTCTCTTAATGTGTGTGCTATTGATGCCCATGGACAGCATTACATCAAAGAGACCTAATTTAGTGAAGGTAAAACTCAGGCTCCCCAGGATTGCCACATTTTGCTGGTGTGTGAGACAGGATAGCTGTTGTGGAGTAAACTTGTCCACTAAGACAGCAGAGATGTAGCTGTATACTGATTGCTCTACTGCCTATTCCATTTTCTCATTTAATCCCCTCAATAACCCTGGGAGATAGGTATTAACACCACCTCATGGGTGGGGAAGAGAAGGGTCATTTGCTCTAGGTCATAGAGTTCATTGTTGGTCAAATGGAATTTGGACCCATATGTTCAGTCTCTTGAATCCTGAGCTCTTGCCACTAGGTCAGGTGCATCCTGGGGGATCTGAGACCTAAATCTTTGACCTCTGGCATTTTTTTCTTCTTTGTCTTTTCTTTTTTAGCTTTTAAAAGCTTCAACTTTGTATTGGTATATATGGCAATTTGCATTGACTTTAGAAGGGTCTCAGATTAAAGGATGGGGGCAGTAGTGAATTATGTTATCAGAATCATTTAATATAGAAAAATAGAACACTTGGAATGCTCCGAGGTTGTCCATGACGAAGAAAGTTTTATTTCTGTGGATTTATATTTTCATAAAGCAGTGATGGTAAGCTACTATCATGGGGGTTTCTGTAGTCTGTTATTTTCTGCTTCCTGTCTGTTTTGGGGTGTGAAAAGTTGGTGCCCAAGGTCTGTGGGCCTTGCTGTGGTCTTCCTATGTGTGAATTAGACTGTAATATTATGGTTTCTCGCTCTTGACCGTAACATTTCTAGCTTTTAGTGGAAGCATGATACACATACAGGAAAGTTCCTATGTCATCAGGACACAGTTTAGTGAATTTCTGAACACACCCAGATAACCAGCATGCAGACCAAGAAATAAAACATTAGCTACCCCTTGAAACCCTTGTTGTGTCCCCTTCCATTGACTGGAAATTTTAAGTCTCCTGTATAAACCTCACCTTTTTAGGTTTCTTCTTGATTTGAACTCTGACATTATTTCCAGTCTTTTGCGGGGGGTAAGGGTGAGGGGGGGCAGGAAACCCTCACTGAAACTTGTTTCTTCCTCTTTCTGTAATCTAATCCCTTGATCAGTCTGCTGTTAAACAGAAGTATCTTGTGTGGCTACACAGTCATAATTTGAGGGAATGTACAGGGTTGGAATAGAACATGCAGCTGTGGAGTAATAGCCAAAACCATTCCTTGGAATTTTCAAAACTGAAAATTTGGTTGCTGAACTGAACCTTGTATTTAGTAAGAGGTAATGAATGAGCAAATGGTAAGCTGCCTCCTGTTGTGGAGAAATGGTGATAGGAGCAGCTTCCTCATTATCATAACTATGGTCAGGCTTTTAAAAATTACTTGTGATGAAGGATTGAGTTTTCATCTAAATACGTAACAAATTAAATACATCCATCCACATAAGGTTCTGGTCCCTTTTCTCTGTTCCACTTTAGACTCACTATGTTGATTTGTGTTCTTTACTATTTTAAATATTTGAATAAAGCTTAACTTTTTAAATATCTTTTAAATTATGCCTTCTTGGTTTCAGGGCTTGCATGTGAAAGCTGATGTACTAGTGGGTAGAAAGACCCAGGCAAGCTCTTTCTCTTGTGCTTTATCATCAGCAGAAACAGTCTCTTGAGTTCTAGAACAAAAGGTTTAGAGTCACGCACAGCAATACTTTGGCTTTCTGGTTAAGTGATACTTTGGGTACTAGGATGATTCAGAGAACCAAAATTTTACTCATACATGTACTCAGTGCGTTAAAAATACACTAAGCACATTTACTCCATATTTCCTTGCCTTCCCGGGAAGAAAAGCATATTAAACAACAAGTAGTCCTTTTGTTCTGCACAAAACCATAGTTCTAAATTGGTGCAAAATCTGAGGATTGCCCTGGAATTTCTTATATTAGGGAAGAGCATTTTTTTAGGGAGCAGTTGGCCTCTGTCTTGGTAAAGGTGATGAGAAGAATGTGCAACTCTAAGAACTCCTGACATGTAATGCAGTCATCTTTTCTGCAAAGTTACTGGTCACAAATTAAAACTACCCTTTTCCAAGTGTTACTTTATTCTACAACTTTTAAAACAGTTCTTTTACTCTCATGCTCTTGAGTATTCTGTGACACCTGCACAATGACAGGCTCCCTCATGAGGCCACGGCATCTCGTGTGCTGGTGGGTCAGCCTCACTGCTCAGGGATGCAAGTGTCATTGTGGCAGGGAGCTCCCTAAGAGCACTGTCCCTCCCAACCTTAATTCTCCGTGAGCACTTAATAATCATCTAGCAGCAGAGTGGCTTCGCTGGCTACAGCGCGTTTCAGTGTGTTTGAAATGCAGATTTTAAAACTGAGAGTGTATTTTATATATATTAGTTGGTATCACTGCAGAATTTAATAAAACATAATGATTTTTTTAAGGGGAAAATCATGATGTTTTCATCTCTTGAGGCTGGTGGGATTTACCAATAGCTGATTTTTCAGCTCTCTAGTCTCATGTATTAGCTCTTGCAGGATTTTCTGCCGTACCTTGCAGCTTAAACTCAGAGGCTGATACCTAGGGCCAGAGGTTGGCCAGCATCACAATGGCACCAGCATTGTAAAACTCCTCAGGTTATAGCCTCTGTTCAGAAGTGAACTTGCTCAAGCGTCATTACTGCAGCTTCTCTATTTGTTGGTTATCTCTCAGTCTTCCCTACCCTTTCTGAAGTTGTATCTCACTTTAAAATGTCAATACAGAGCTTCCTCTTACATAGAGTCAATTGAAAATGCAGTAAGTCAAAAGCGCATTTAATAACCTAACCTACTGAACAGCATCATTAGCTTAACCTAGCCTACCTTAAATATGCTCAGAACACTTAAACATTAGCCTACAAATTGGGTAAAATCATCTAAGACAAAGCCTCTTATAATAAAGTGTTGAAATCTCATGTGATGTATTGAGTACCGTACTGAAAGTGAGAAACAGGATGGCTGTGTGGGTAGAGGATGGTTGTCAATGTATCAGTTATTGAGCCTCATGACCCTGTAGCCCTGCTGCTGCCCAGCATCATGGGAGAGGATTGGACCGCATATCGCTAGCCTAGAAAAAGGTCCAAATTCAAAATTCAAAGTACAGTTTCTACTGGATGCATATCACTTTTGCACTATAAAGTAAAAAAAATCACTAAATCGAACCATTGTCAATCAGGGACTGGCTGTGTATGTACATCACTCTAAAGCAGCCCAGGTTCTAATTTGGAAGTGATGATACATCCATGAAGCTGATGATAATCCAGTAACACCCTTTACCAGCAAACCTAAAAAGACAGCATGATTGTCTTACTGGCTGCCCTTTTACAAGTGAAAAGGAAATGACTGATCTTTTTTTCCTTGACTTTTTTCTTTTCAGGTTTTGAATGAAGAATGTGATCAGAACTGGTACAAGGCAGAGCTCAATGGGAAAGACGGATTCATTCCCAAGAATTACATAGAAATGAAACCACATCCGTAAGTTGGGTTCTACTTGTTTCCCAAGGCTCAGACGCAACCTGCTTGTTTCAAATAATGTTCTTAAAATTGAAATCACTGCGATGGATGCCATACTTTTCCTCTGTCTTCCCAGGAAATTAACAAAGCATGTTGATTTTGCATGTTAATTTTACTGTATAATGATAGTGTAGTCAATAATAGTTTATGTTTTAGATTGGTAATAGTTGCTAGTGATCTTTACTGAAACAATTATTTCATTTAAAACAGTTATATATTATTACATAATAATAGTATGTGTTTTAGATTGATAATTGTCAGTGATCTTTAAACAATAAAACGACAGTTATGCAGGTCTACAATTTTTTTTTTTACAAAATTATTGGGTCCGGGTATGTTTCATAATTCTGTATTTTTTGAGTTTTAAAAAGAATTCTTATGACACAGTTTGGTATTGATATGTTTGATTATCCCATGGGACGGTATCTTAGTAATTGTATCCCCAGAGCACAATGCTGAGCATATAATAAGTTCTCAGTAAATGTTTATTATTATAATCACTGCCCATGCCCACCACTTAGTGTTCCTACTTAGAGACACCAAAATGTTCTCCTACTCCAGGCTAAGAGCAGTGAACTTTTTCTCTTTTTCCCCCAGAACCCCTCCCTCCCTATACATTGATAGGTTACTTGGTGGGGCCTGGGGCCCCTTATGAACCTCTATCCTCCCACCTGCACCCACCACCTCTCATTGGCCCTGCTTCTGCCTTAAAAGCAGTTGATTTCATACTTCATATGTCAGGGGAGACTGAGGCTTTCAGCATTCAGACTGAAGACAAAGAAATGATAGATTCTGTCTACTCAGTTTACACAGAGTGGTAAATATTTGTAGATGGCTTGACCCACCTGGAGTAGCAACCCGTTTTCCCCCTCCCCCCATGGTCACTGCTCTAATGTATACCTGTCATTTCTCTTCCCCCAGGTACTAGAGCAAGTATCCAATCCACACCTTAGCTTGTACAGAGCTTACAGCATTCTGTGTAGAACTGAATGTCACAGAGCTGGAAGGGGCCTTCAAGATCATCTCGTTCATTCTTCTTTATCCTGCAAATACAAGCTTCTAGTATTTTTACTGCAGTGCCAGTAATTTATGAATTTAGTTCTCATTATAAAAGACTCACAGTGTGGAGAACTATTGAGCAATGAGTTTCTCCCTATACACATACCCCTTTCAGAGATGCAGCCACCACTAGCAATTAAATATGGGCCAAATGCTACCTTATGAACCAAATCTGTTCTAAAAAGATGATTTGCCTTCCATAAAACAAAACAAATGATTCAGAAGCTTCACCATAAAACTGTCTGATGGTTCATGCCTTGGTCAGTAAACTCTTACAAAGTTGTTATTATGTAGTAGAGACTGTGCTAGGTGCTGGGAAATAGGTTCTGTAGTTGAATTATGGTATAATAACAGTTCCATAAAGTTAATATGAAGCTCTGTAGGAGATCCCATCCAGGAAGCTTTAGCCTAGAGAGAGAAGGTCGGGTTACCCTGCAGTTTGGTAATGGAAGGTGTCTATATAAAAGTTTGTCCTCAAGGAAATTTCTTACTGCTTCAAGAAGAACCAGGCACCTCATTATGCCTCGATAAATATTTCATTGAATGATTTACAAGATGAAAATCAGTCTAAACTTCATTTTTGTAGCTGTTTGGAGCTTGTATTATCTTGTATCTGTATGAATTTGATCTCCCACTCCCCCCAAAAACATGTTTTTGGGTTTTTTTTTAAGATTCTCTGGAGAATTTATGTGTTCTGCTTTTATACTCCCATTAGAATTTTTACCTTGCTTTTGCACATAGTAGCTTAGTAAATATTTTTTAATTGATACTCAGGCCCTGAACCAAGGCCTAGACCAAGTAGTTCAAGGTGATAAAAGCCAAAAGCATTAAGTCTTCAAGGGTTCATGTGGAAGAGATTCCTGGACCCCTGTTTGTGGGTTGATATGCCCCTCATTTGAGGTCCCTGTAACATTATATTGGGGATTAACACACAGCCATGCCCAGGTTCCTAAAAGGTAGGCACAAATGGTGATAACCAGGACACTCCAAAAGATGAGCACAAGGTTATTACAGATATCCTGGGACATATACTAAGTACAGCTTTGCAGTCTTCCATCCACTTCATGGCAGTGTTTGCTTTATGGCTGTGTGGGCTTCTCATGGACAGCATCACAGAATGTCCTCCAATTGAGTGGTGGTCACTAGGAGTGGGAAGGGCTCATTGGATCACGTGGTGCATCCTCCCTTGGCTAATACAAGCCAAATACTTTGTGTGCATCTATTCCTTCAGTCCACCCTCAAAGTAGATCCAGGTTTGGCTACTATTCTTGGAAAGGGATAGATAGTAACTATTTTAGGCTTTGAAAGCCACATACGATCTCTCATGTTACATACTCTTCTTTTTTTGAATTTTTAAAAATAAATTATTTAAGAAATGTAAAACAGTCTTAGATATGGGCCAAAGAAGAATCAGGCGTATTTAGGCCGAGGACCATAGTTTGCTGACTCCAGCACTAGAGCCAATGGTAACAAAATGAACTTGTGATCCTTTTCCTATTCATATTTCCAAGCTAAAACGGAATTTAGCAGAATTTTTCTTTAATAAAATGCCTGTGGTTCTAAGTCATTTTTCTTCAGACTATTTTAGGTAACACAGGCATTTCAAATCCAGCCGTTGAGAACATGGAGAGACCACCTTCCTCGGACAGGTGTAGTTACTGACCCGTTTGATCGGTTAGCCGTAGGAGGAGTCGCTCTGGCGCCCAGTCCTCTTTCCCAGTCTAAAGAACCTGGGAGTGATGATAGGGAAGCATCCAGTACAGGCTCCGTGGTGGTAGTCTTTGTAATCTCTAGAAAGGCAAGCGATGCTCATTCACTTCTCGCGCTGGAAAGGGAGCCATGTTCCTAAAAGAGAAAATCCGTGGTACCTGTGTGGTGGCTGGACACCCATAAGTATAGGGTTGGTGTTGGTTTCACGGTTGGCGAGCACCGAGTACTCCTTTCCTCTCTCCCCACCTTTAGTTTCTGTTAGGGAGGAAGAGGAGGGAAGTTTAAAGTGAAGTGTATGGCCTAAGACAGCATTTAAGTTAACAAATTAAACACAGACTTTGAAATGATTGTTGGCATTAGCGTTGCAACATGAGTTATATATACTGGGGGCGGGTCCAAATACATGCTTTTCACATTAAATGCATATGGATGGGAGCCTGTGGGATGTAGTAAAGAATTAAATTGAAAAATAAACCACCTCCTCCTGTTGACGTTCTCCCTTGCTGTTTGTATTGTATAAACCCATCTTTAGAAAGCTTAAAAAGCCTTAAAAAGCTTTGTTAATTTTGACCATAGCTATGTAGTTAAACACAAAATGGGACATGGAAGTGGGGAGTGGTGTGTTTGGTAAAAATGGGAGCAGATACAAAAGAAATTTCTTTAATAAAATGGTCTTCAACTAATTTTCTACTTTTCAGTCTGCGCACTGTAAAAAGGGTGTGTTTATTTAGTAAAAATTCTAGAGTACTTCACTACAGTTTTTTTTTAAATTGAAAATAAAATTGAGTTAGTTTTAAGCTGGGGCAGAAAAGCATTGTATATCTGTATACATTTCTGCGTCACAAGGGAGGGCCTGTTTACATATGAAACTGCCAACAATTGCTGCCTATGGGGAGCTGCGGAAGTCTTGCTTTTTATTTTTGCTTCATGTACATCTAGGCAATTTTGATTTATATCCATTACTTAGACCTTTACAACGGGAAAACGGAAGGAAAGCCTGGTGGGAAGCTCTTGCGAGCTTCGGGGGGAAAGAGTTTGGCTGCTGACTTCACCCCACTCCAGTGAAAGCCACACATGTGCAAGTGCATTGTGAACTTGAAAGCACCAGAGATTAAAATAGAAGCTGTTCAAGTGGTCTCCATACTGTCAGATGTCCTTTTCATAGTTGGAGATCATTCTGTTTTATGTATTAATATGTGATTTCTCTGTGTGGCCTGGCTTCCAAGCACAGGGGGACTTCCCCTTGAGTTACATGTAGAAGCAGGAAGGTAGATTGTACCAGCTTCTCGCAGCTTAGCATTATAGTAAGCGGAATGAGAAAGACACAGGTAGATTTCAAGAATGCTTAAGGGTTACAAATGGCAGCTTCTGAATGTACCCTTGTTAGTAGTTAATGTCTTTTGGTTTGAATTTTAGTGTATTATATTAATTTAGAGACATCTTGCGGTGTGGTGGCTTATAAGTAAGATGTTAAAGATTTATAACTTTAATGGGCTCTTTGGTATCTTCTTATAGTTTGCATGTTTGACGAGTAGTAGTTACCACATAAAGAGTCTAATGAAGCAGGTACGTCTTTGTCAGCAGCTCTAAGTAATGTCATTGCTTAGATAACATTAAAGACAGTTTTGTTAAAGAGAACATTGTTTTCACAGTTCATCCATCCTAATTAACAGTGGTTTTCCAAGTGAAATAGTTAGGAGCTGGGATTTTAAGCTTTTTTAGAGTGTTCTCTTCCTCCTGGTAAGCCACAGGCCAGTTGCTCCCATAGTTTTCCATCAACTCACCCACTTACTCTTGTGGCCAAGGTGAATTAACATTGGAGGTAGAAGAATCTGTAGCTTGCTCCAAATGAAAAATTTTGCAACTGGCTGCCTCTCCAGAGGGTACGTTATAATCTGTTTCCTAAAAGCTCAACTCTGATTAGTAACAAGGCATGCCAACCTTAGGTACTAGTTACTGGTAGAGGCTGCTTTCCTCAGAGTCTGGACTTCTTCCCTTCAGGCTATTATAAGAAGCCACCCTGTCTCTAGTTTCTGGGTCTTCCTGGTTTCCAGCCCCCATTTCCCTTAATCCCACTGAGTAAAGCTACAACCTTACCAAATGGCTGCAAGAAGGGGTCTGTCTGAACTCATGTGGTTCATCTTGTGCTTCACACTGATGGACCTGGGCTTTCCCCAGAGCTGGGTGATGAGTCAGTAGAGAGCCCAGTGGGCTTTGGCCTGGCAGGCCCATTTTCAAGTGTGTCTTCCTCTATAGGAAGAGTGGCCCACGCTCATGCTTTATGAGTCACTTTATAGGGAGTGGAATAGGGTGAAGTCGTTCGAAGGGAGGTGGTCCATCTCTCAAGGGATTGAGGGCATGTTGAGACTGGAGGGTAAGGAGGTAGCCCTTTCCTCTGGAAAGACGTGCTCTGTTACATTTTGGAGGCTGGGTATCCCATTTTTTTGTGGGGAAGCAGATGTTGACTGGCTTGCCTTCCTTCCTTAGGTGGTTTTTTGGCAAAATCCCCAGAGCCAAGGCAGAAGAAATGCTTAGCAAACAGCGGCATGATGGGGCTTTTCTTATCCGAGAGAGTGAGAGTGCTCCTGGGGATTTCTCCCTCTCTGTCAAGTAAGTATTTCCTGCTTTGGTTACCCTGACTGATTTAAATTGTGAAACCACAGACTAGGTATCTGGCTACACATACAAAAGTTGCAGACTGGTAGAGGGTTTAGCCTAACCAGTTATTTACCAAATCAGAGAAGTTTACACTAGGATCCTAATTTCTGGCTTCTCTTAAAAATGAGCACTAGCAGCCCTGGATGTGGGATCCCACGTGGAAAGGTCTTAGATAGCAGAGCAGCCAAGCTGCACTTCTGATAGCATGTGTTTGCCAGTTTTCCCTAGGCCCCACCACTCCACAGTGTTCTCAGTACACACAGCCCATCCTCACCCAGCACCGCTGCCCTTGGGGATTCCTGCAGTTCTCTCTTAGCATCACTGATCACCATTTCAGCTGCCTTTGCACACCTTTGCCAAATAGTTAGCCTGTCTAGTGAAGTGTCCTCGTCTCCCACATTTACTTAAAAAGGTTATCACAGGGTTTTGGATGTTTTGCTTTCCCCAGAGGTAAGTTTAAATGTGAAGGGGAGCTGGTAGGCAGGGAATTTTACCACCCTGGGAATCGTGGGGAATATAAGTTAGAACTTTGAGGATTCCAAGCAAATCACCTCTCATATGTGAAATAAGGATTTTGAATCAAACTGTCATTTCCCTGTGTGTTTTGACTCAGTCCTTTCTAGTTAATATGTTATCCCAGGAACCCACCCTTAGGATTCTTACAAATCACTTCATCAAAGTCACAGAAATGATTAGGTTGAAATTAAGGTCACTTTTATTATGGATTACATTGACCCTTTAAATGAAGGCTATAAGGCAGGTTATTTGCCGTTTACGAATGGTGTATAAAGAGTTTTCAGTTTCAAAAATCAACTGAGTGTCTTGTTTCATTTTAGGACCAAATGGCTATAGTGTAGGTTTTCTGAAGTGTAGATTTAAATTGGTAATTCTTACGGGTCTTCCCTCAGTGAAGGTATGGGGGGTGGTTTCAGGTGATACTTGAAATATCTTATAGATATGTATCCAGTATAATTTTTAATCTCAACATGACAATGTTAAACTGGGTCCTCTTACCAGTTTTCTTCTTCTAAACTAACAATTGTTCTAATAGGTTTCATTTTTTAGAACAGTTTTAGGTTCACAGCAAAATGAATGGAAGGTACAGAGATTTCCGATGTACCCTAATACTCCCACATGCATAGAAACAGTGGCTCTTTGATGTGCTTGATTTAAACACATGCAAATGAGGATCTGATGAAGAGCATCTTGAGTTAGAGTTACTATCTTTATGCTTCTCATTAACTTGCATTTCATCATCTGTTTTCCTTATGTTTGATACTGACCCACGCCTAAGGCAAGCGGTAGAGAATGAGGAGAACAGTTATTCACTGGGTGATGGCCAGAACCATCGCAACAGTTTGTGGTCAGCTGGGGCCCTTGTTTGAGTACCACTAATCACTGTACAGGCTCATGCGGTAGCTACCAGGAGGCTCCCAAACCATTCTGTTTCATCAAATAAAAACTTTAAATATAGAGTCCATGCATTTATTGTTTCAGAAATAAAATTGGAAACAGATGTCATAATTGGTTTTCTAACACAAACACAAAGCCTTCAACAGACCTTCGCAGAGGGGGGGATTCAAGCATCCAGTCTTGAATGTTTCTCTAGTTCCTGGATGGAAGTCTGAGGGAACACCGAGGTAGTTAACAGCTCACCACCAGAGGTCCTACACCCCTTTTAGAAACCACCCTGGTGGGAGTGGGCTTCTGTGGGGCCAGTGTCGTTTGAATATGTCTTCCTTCCTCAAAGTTTTCTCCACATACACATTTTTTTCTCTCTTGAAACAGCAATACTCTTTTCTGAACACGATACCGTGAATACGTTGGCTTCCTTGAAGCTCGGTGCTGCCACCTGCTGGGTTGTTTTCAAGAAGTGTTTAGTTTCTTTACCCTCTAAGACTGAAGAAGAGTGACTGTTACTCGTGTAACAAACCTTCATGGATGGCTTGGTGAGGGCTGGGCACTGGTGTAGACTTAGAGGACTGAGCAGTGAGCAGGATGGGCAGCGCCCTCACTGAGCTGATCTAGCCGTGTAGCCCTGATCGGCTCTTGCTGTGTTTGTTGGTCAATGTCAAAGGGAACATGAGACCATACTGGGTGAAAGAGAAGCCACTTTGTGGGGGCAGGTGCATGGGCCCCTTTTATTTATCATCCTTCTATGTTCTTCTATTTTGAGACCATTTTCCCATGAGTAGAACTAAAATCCCTAGATGAAAAATACAACTTTAAATTGTTCGCAGTCTAGGAGAATTACTGAAAGTATGTCCAATCCCTCCTCTTCTCACTTTATTTCCTATTTTACCTTTTGTTGTCTTTCAGTATCATGTAAGATTTTAAATCTTCCTTTGCTTGAAAAGTTAATGTTAAGTCACACTCCTTGCCTTATCTGAGGTTCTGTTTCCTTTGGGGCAGGGCAGGGCACGTAGAGGCGTGTCATGGGTGAGGACATTCTGTTTCACAGATATCTTCAGAATCAGGCTGATGGCTGGCGAGGTGTCTTTGTGGTGTCACTGGTAGCACCAGTCCTAATGGAGAGGTCACTGGCGAGCCTTGGATTGTCCTGACTCTCCAGCCAGGGAGTCGTGTTGCCTCTCGGGCTGTGAGGAATGCTGCCAGAATTCCATTTCCTAAGACACTTCCTAGACTGGCAGGTGCCCCCAGGTCCAGGTAGCGCAGAGCCCTCTGGCCTGTGACCTGCTCCTTTGTGTACACTCTGCCCTCTTCAGGTTTGGAAATGATGTGCAGCACTTCAAGGTGCTCCGGGATGGAGCCGGAAAATATTTCCTCTGGGTGGTGAAGTTCAATTCTTTGAATGAGCTGGTAGATTATCACAGATCTACATCCGTCTCCAGAAACCAGCAGATATTCCTCCGGGACATAGAACAGGTGCCACAGGTAAGCCTCATAAGAGAGATTGGGATCATTTTTAGCAGTTAAGACTAGCTCCTCAAGCAAGCCAGGCACCTTTCCAAAGGATTATTTCTGGGTCTTCTATGCTCATTACTCAAAATGCTACTCCTAATTCACATTAAAGACATGTAGCTTGAAACAAAATGATTTTGTCTTTTTCAGAGGCAGTGTGTTGCCAATTTACCGCTTATATGCTATCGGATATTCTATCCCTGGAAGCAGTTGTAAGGAAAATCACACTTGTGAGGGAGGAGTCCATGCTTGTACCTACGTCCCCACACCTAAGATCCCAGACATATGTTACAGATGGAACCAGTTTGTTTTACTTAGGCTCTTGACCTTTTCACTCTATAAAACAGTCAAGATTTTATAAGTAATAAAGTGATAGGAATTAAAGAATTTCCAAATTCTGGGGCTGTAAACAAAGCCTCAGCTGCTGTTTCTGAAGTTCATTAACTGTAAAACAGCACTCGGTGCCCGCTGTGTGGTAATACAGCGCGCTGGCCTCCATAGTGAGAGATTCCTGAGTGCTTTCTGAGTGCTGGCAAAGCATGGCACTAGCCTCACCTGAGGAAGAAGCTCAGACTGTGTAGGGATAAGTGGACAGGGGAGAAGTGGAAGGTCATTTCAGGAAATGTGAAGAGGTCGGTGCGCATCTGTTGCCCACTTGTGACCAGGCCCGCTTGCGGGCCTGGCCACGGTGAGAAATGCAGTTGTGTGTGTTTGCCTGCCCCTCTGCAGCAGCCGACGTACGTCCAGGCCCTCTTTGACTTTGACCCCCAGGAGGATGGAGAGCTGGGATTCCGTCGGGGAGACTTTATCCACGTCATGGATAACTCAGACCCCAACTGGTGGAAAGGGGCTTGCCACGGGCAGACCGGCATGTTTCCCCGCAATTACGTCACCCCCGTGAACCGGAATGTCTAAGAATGAAGAAGAGATTATTTAAAGAAAGTGAAAAATTGTAAACACATAACAAAAGAATGAAACCCACAAGCTGCCTGTGACAGCAGCAGCCTGTGAGGGAGCTCAGAAGGCCTGGCTGGGTCACTCGGTGATCCTCTCACTTTGGTTGGAACTTTGGGGGGTGGGGAGGGGGCGTTGGATATAAAAATGCCAAAACTTAACTATAAATTAAGAGAAGAATTTTTATTATAAATTTTCACCACTGCTCCTGTTTCTCCTCCTTTGTCCTTTTTTTCATCCTTTCTCTCTTCTGTCCATCAATGCATGCATGACATTTAATGCCACATAGAGTCCTAGCTGATGCCAATAATAAAAGAAACCAAGTGGGCTGGTATTTTCTCTATGCAAAATGTCTGTTTTAGTCAGAATGACTGAAGAACAGCCACTTCTGTGTCCCCAGAGTATTACAAAAGCAGAGGGTAGGGGAGCATGAGGCCTTTGCTATGTAGCTTCTGCTAGAGGGGAGTGCAAGTAGGAATCTGCCTCCCACCCCAACCCCCAGTGGATGTTGTCAAAGCTGGAAATAGTGCGGGGATCAGAGGAAGAAGTGTCGCCCCTCATGGCTTCCTGAGTCAGGCTCAACACCTTTGTCTCTTTTCTGCATTGTTTTCCCTTCCAAGTGGTATTATTGAGCATGTTTTTCATAGTGCCTTTTTCCTTATTTCATGGTTGCTTATGAGTGGTGTTTTTTATTTGTTCTGTTTTAAAATAAGTTAAAGACAGTCCAGAGCTTTTCAGCCAATTTGTCTCCCACTCTGTAAATATTTTTCCCTCATGGGGAGGGGAAACAGGGTGGCGAGGAGGCAAGCAGAAGAGGATGTGGGTGTTCCGCCCGCCCTACAGCCAGAAATCTTTAAGGTTCAGCTTTAATAGGTGTCAGCCCTCTGGAGTTCAAGGGAGCCCGGTGCCCAGGCATCTGGAGTCACTGCACTGGGTACAGAGCGACCAGCTGCCTAGGGAGGAGGAGGGGTTACAGTCCTTCCCACATCTGACCTGCTTTGGCTGGAAGGGTCCCCCGCCTCCTTAACTCTGGAGACCCCCAGACACACATCCCTGGAGCCACCAAGTTTCAAATACAGGAAAGCCCACAGAGCTTAAACTGTCACCTTTGAACTGTATCAAGTTATACTGTATCCCTACGCTGGGGTAGAAAATGAGTTTTCGTTTTTGTTGATCTGAAAATAAGGGGGTATCCGTTCATGGCTTTCACCTTCCATGCCCCCCACCTCTCCTGCCCCAGTGAGCGGCTTTCAAGCAGCAGCTGGGTGCTCGTGTCTCCATGGACAGGGACTGTTCATAGTTAATACCACCCTACCCCTTGAAAAGGAAATGTCTCTGAATCAGGAGGTGGAAGGCATAGGAAGGCTGAGTGCATTGCGGAGCTCTTGTCGGACGCCTGTTAGCTTCTTGTCTCTCACAGTGATGTGCTTTTGAACTTTCCACCCAGTCTCCCTCCCACAACAAAAATGGGGCCACCTGGGAACTGGTGACAGCCGTCAGGCCCTGAAGTGGTCGGTTGGGGTCCCCCTGGACTCTGGTTATGGAGGTGGGCCTGGAGCACCCAGAGGCGCGTGTGGCACCGTGCTTCTGGACAGGCCGTTCCGCCCCTCCTCGCTCCCTTGCTGAGAGCTAGCTGCTCCTTTCCTCGCTGGTGATGAAAGGAATCTGGCATTCTACCCCTGGACCATTTGATTGTTTTATTTTGGAATTGGTGTATATCATGAAGCCTTGCTGAACTAAGTTTTGTGTGTATATATTTAAAATGTTTAAATAAAGACCTATGTACTTAATCCTTTAACTGCAGATAGCATTTGGTAGGTAGTGATTAACTGTGAATAATAAACATACAATGAATTCTCCATTCTGTATCTTTTCTTTTTTTCTCCTCACCTTACTTAAAAACTTAACAAGTATATCAGGTGTTAGGTCAGGGAGTCAGAACTCGTGTGTCCTGTTTTCTGGCTCACCCGGCCCCTGGGGGAGCGTGTGGATCGTGCTGGGTCCCTGAAGTACTGATGCTCACTACTCATATGTTCTTAAGTATGTATGAGTTATACCTGGTACTACGCAGCTGCTCTTCAGAATCGCTGGGGAGCTTGTTTGCAGTGCAGATCCCCAAATCTCACCCTCAGATACTCCCAAGATTGTGGTTGAGGGCCCGGACAGTGCCTGTTGTTTGACAGAAACCATACACCAGACTTGGGAGACTCTGGTCTGGGTCCAGAGTTTTGTTGGCTTGGCTCTCATCCCCTCCCTTCTGCCCTGTCTCCCCTCCCTAACCCTCTTCCCTGCCCCATTAAGTACGGACCGGATAGAATGATGTGTAGAAGCAGCCTCCATGTGCTGGGGAGCTGAAGCATGCTCGTGTGGGCTCAGGCCGCTTCTAGGGTGAGACTAGGCCTAACCTCATACAGCGGTTGTAGGAGGCCAAATAGGAGTGGTTTAGAGCACAAGTGAGCAGCAGAACTAAACCAGAGGGATTTCCACTTGCATTCCTGGCACAGTTCTTAAGTGGAGCTCCACATACCACGTCATTTGTGGCTACTCTGCCTGGATGTGGGTTTCAGTTCTCCCTTCCTCTGCAGCGACCATGTGTGACGAGGAACTTGGCCCAGCACTGTCCCGCTGGGTGCTGCTGATCTCAGGGCACCTATGCTGGCTACTCAGAAGCTGCGCAGACGTTTCCAGAATGGAGCAACTTACCAGTGAGTGTCAACCTCACTGAGGCTTTTTGTTCCTTGAGTCTGGCCTCAGAAAAACTACAGAAGTGATGGGGAAATTCCTGCTTTTGGGAAGTTAGATCACAGATTTCTTGGTGATTGTATCTCACTCCAGCCATGAATCTGTAATTCCTGGAGAGCTGTCTGGATGGAAGTGTCTTTGGGACACCAGCCCAGGATAGCTCAACCACATTTAATGACAGGTAGTGAGGGGCTGCGGCTCGTTCCACCTGCCTCGCTCCTCAGGGTGGCCCTGCAGCAGCTGGAGCCTGGGCATGTGTTCACACAATTGCGGAGGGGACAGTGGTGACACCACCCACGAAGTGCTACAGGGTGGCATGTGGAAGGAGAAGGGCAAGGGGCACAGTGGTCGCCTGTCTTTGACTTGTCCCTTTGACCTGCTCACTGTAGGTGACCTTCATATCGGAACTTCTTGCTCTACCAGAGGGCCTGGAAAACTAGGAAAAGTGAAAGTGGGGTTGTATTTGGGCACTAGGAAGTATTTCACTCCTGATGCTGTCTTAACATGTGATACAAAGTCCCCAGATCTGAGCCCTACTTTATGCCAAAGGAAAGATTGTACACACTCTTGAGTGTGTGCGCATTTGGGGACTTCTTAAGCTTAGCCCTCAGTCTATAGGCCCCTCACTCCAGCCGGAGTCCTGAAGTGAACGAGTAAAGTGCTCACTCCAAGATGGCTAGCATAAAACCCCAAGTTACCTCCATTTCTTAGGTTATTCATCCCTCTTACGGAAGCAAGAGTACAGTCCTGTGTACCAACAGCACTGGTACATGACACGAGGGGATATTGGTGCTGATGGTTCCACTTTGCTGCTCAAAGCATTCCAAACACTACTCTGAAACAGTTTAAAAGGTATCCTGTCTTCCATCCAAGAAGGGTTATTGAGACAGTCTGCCAAGACTTGCTTCTGGCATGTCTAAGGAACAGCACAGGGCCTAGTCTCCATCGAGGAGTCGTCAGTATTACTCCGTCCCCTTGTCAGATGTGTCTAGGATGAGGGTCAGGAGAGCCCAGTCACGGCAGCGCCCCTGAGCAACAGGGCCTCCCCAGCTCCACCTGAAGCAGCTGTGTCTTGAGTACAGCACGCTTGAGGCCCAGACCTGAACCTTGCTAGCAAGTCAGAGGGCACAGAATGCTCCTTTATCTGTTGCTCCCTTTCAGGCTTGTTGAACTCCCCTTGGTGTGATAGCCATTCTGGTATGCATGTTGTTTTCTGACTCCGGAACTGCAGGCACCTCTTGCTTGATAGAGGCGGTGGAGAAGCCGGTTATATCCTCCTCCCCCAGGCCATCCGCTACCCTTTCCACTCCTGCACTGCAGGCATCACTGCTTTGAGTCATCCTGAAACTGGAAATGACCTCCTTCAGGCTGCTCCTGCACCTGATGGCAAGGCGTTCTTCAGTTCTGTTGCTGTGCAGGCTGATAGGAGAGAATCAGAAAGTGTAGACAACACAGTTGGGGCTGCAGGTAGGACCTCAACCAGGGCTTGGGGGAGGTTGCTTTGAATAGGACACATAGGCCCACCGCGTGGTAGGCTGTTCACGGAGGAGCTCTGTGGAGTGGGGATGAGCAGTGTCTGCAGGCTGGCTGCCCAAAGGCCTGGGTGGCCTGCAGTGAGACCAGAGCCCGGATGGGGGTGGGGACACAGGCTGAACCATCTCCCTGCTGACGTGCAAGTTCGTATAGATGAGTGGCGTGGAGAAAGCTGAGCTTTAGGAAGACGTGAATTGCAGTGGTGCACAGAACAAATGACAACAGCCAGGAAGAGGCTGCTATGGGCATGGTAGTGGAAGACATGAGGGGCTGTGGCACTGCCCAGCCAGATTCTTTTTCCTCACCAGTCAGCTGGACTGGGGGACAGCCTCCTTGTGGTTCCACGTGGCCGTGCAGTGGAGTCCTGGAATGTGAGTGACAGGCACCACTTCTGGCCCAGCTGACCTGTGCCGCCCTTGCCTTGTCTGCCGGATGCAGGAGAGCCGGGAGGACTACTGGCATTCACCTGCTTCACTTGACGGGAGTGAGAAATGAAGCATTGACTTACCGTGGATCAGGGGCTCTTCGTTTCAGATGTTACCCTCCCCCCAATCCAGGGCCACACTGGGGAACAGTGAGGAAGGGAGAAACTTGAAAGGCCTAGCTGAAAATGTTAAGTTTGGGAGGAGGAAACGGAACTGCCCATCATGTCCTAAATATAAGGAAGCAGCGGTGACAGCAAACTCAAAGCTGTCACAAGACAGACACGCGCACAGCCCTCTGCAGAGCTGGCAGTACCCTGGGGCCCAGCTCCACTCTGGCCTGCTGCTCCCAAGGCTGACGGCCAGCCATTACTCTCTGATGATCTGTCCCTCCCTCAATCTTGTGTCCTTGTCCACTCACTGGGCAGGTTGAGGTCATCATGTGGTTCATTCAGGCCTCTGCTCAAATGTGAGTCCTCACTCAGAGAATCCCTCCAGAGATGCATTCCCCTCCCCTCCGGCACTTTCTGTGTATTGCTGAGCTGTTTTTCCTCATAGCCCTCAGAGTGCAGCCCGTCTTTCTGCCCATTTCCCCACCAGACTGTAAGCTCTTCAAGGCAGGGACCTGGCCACTGTTGCATCCCTCACACCTACAAGAGAGCCTGAAACACCCTGGGTGTCCATGATACTATCTGACTTATGTCCCAGGCATTGCTATCAATGAGGCTCATGGCACCAGCATTCCCAACCTGACGGTCAGTGGGGAGGGCAGCCAAATTATGCCTCAGCAGGTGGAATGGCATAATTAAAGGGAGAGTAGGGGTTTGGGGGACATTCAGAAGCAGCTCCCACCTTTCCAGAGGCCAGGGAAGACCAGACGGCTCTGCATAAACAGAGCTCAAGGCTCAATGGGATGGTAGCTCTCTGGCGGTGAAGGAATGTATTCCGGGCAAGGTGCTGGGCAGGACCACCTTCAAGTTCCAGAAAGAGCTGCGTGTAGAGAGGGAGACCAGGGCCCAAGGAAAAGCTGGCGCAGGGGCAGAGGCCAGATGAGGCCGGGCCGTGTAAGCCATAGGAAGGGGCTGGAAGTGAGGAGCTCTAGGGGCTTGGACTGGGAATTTGTTTAAAGGATAGCCTCATTGAGATACAATTCATTTGTCACACAAGTCACCCATTTAAAGCATACCATTCAGTGGTGTTGAGTGTTATTTGTGAAATTATGCAATCAATTTCAGAACATTTCTGTCGCCCCCCAGAAAACCCATGTATTCATTATCAGTCACTTCCCATTTTAACCCCAGTCCCTTTTGGGCCCCTGGCAACCATCAGTCTACTTTCTAACTCTTTGTATTTGCCTTTCTGGACATACCATTTACATGGGACCATACTGTGGCCTTTTGTGTCTGGCTTGCGCCCAGCATAATATCTGCAGTGGTGGCAAGTGTCAGTATTTCATTCGTTGTCGTGGCTGGACACTATTCCATTTGAATACACCACATTTTGTTAATAACCACTGTACAGTGGCAGGCATTTGGGTTGCGTCCACTCTTTGACTATTACAAGCATTCATGTGCAAGGTTTTATGAGAACATACCCTGAGGATTTGAAGCATAGTAGTAGACACGGTCCCTTCTGGCCAGAGCAGTGGAGAAAGGGGGCAGCCTAAGAGACTGTTGCAGTTGGCAACAGGGAGCAAAAAGAAGCTGGTTGATTTGAGCCATATTTAGGAGGACAGGTTGGGAGGTAAAGGAAAAGGAGGGTGTTTTGTGCCGTCTCAGCCTATCAATAACTGATGTGGCTGGACCAGCCCTGTTTGGTTCTTAACTGTGATTGCAAGATGCCCTTCCCCAGCAACCATCAGAAACTTAGAATAAATAAAGGTTTATTACTTATCAAAACTGGAAATTATACAGCACACCTGGGCCACACCACAAGGTGGCAGGTAGAGAGAGAGAGCAGATCTGGGGCTTCCCTTTTTATTGGGGTTGAGGGTGCGGGCCTAGGGTTTTGTGGGCTCAATCTTTATTGGTGAATTTAAACCATAAGAGCAGGAAGTGAAAGTGCAGGAAGAAAAAAAACACGTGGCCCACATGATGAGTTATCAAAATCAACCAAGATCTCTAAAACAGAGGCTGGGGAGGGGTGGGGGTAGGACTGGCTCTTTATCTGGTCCTGTGGCAATGTGTTTATTCCAGAGAGAGCCAAGATAGCTGTCACTGAACTGGACACCTCTTTGAAGTAAAGGGCTGGGGAATCAGAGCTTAAATCAGGCACTTGCATTACAAAAAAGAGAAAACCCAGCTCTCAGGGCTTATACTGCGGAAGGTGGCCATGACTCTTAGGGTCCTTGTTTGAGCAATGTGAAGGCCAGTGGTTGCTGTTGACCGACAGGGAGCCCTTAGGGAAGGGGAGAAAGGGGTTGGGGAGAAAGGTTGGCCAGGTGGAATTCGAGGTGTCTGGGCAAATGTCTAGGAGCAGCAGAATGTGTCCACCTGTAACTCAGGAGACTGATGAGCAGGGAACCCAGGATCGAGGCTTGTGGGCGGGGAGATGGCCCTGAAGCCATGGCCTTACATGAGACCCCACCGCACACTCTGCACTCTTTGAGGGAAGAGCGCAGAATTTGGGGCCAAGTGCTGAGGAAGGCTTGCCCAGTGCTGGAGCAGCTTTGTGTCCAGGGATGTTCCTGCAAGAAACGACTCCCCGAGGCCATCCTTGTCCAGGCCCCTGTTCCTCCACCCTGCCTCTTGCCCCAGCTGATCCAGATTGTTCCTATCCAGCCCTGTCACACACTCCCTATTCTGTTGAGAAACATTTCCCAGCTGCCAGGTGTTGAGAAGACAACATGCAGACTCCTGACCCTCAGGAGTGGCATAATGTAGGAGAAAGAGTGTGGCACGAGAGAGATTGGCACAGAGACCCAGGGCTTTATTCCAGGCTTTGTGACCTCAGGGCCCTTAACCTCTGATCCCTTGTTCACCTGTTTAAAAAACAGGCCAATGTCGCCAGGTTGGCCTGAGGATCCAACATGATAGTGTATGTAGGTGTTCAACAAACTGTCAAATGTAGTGGGTCCTGTACTGATAATGATCTTGGCGTTCAAGGCCTTTTGCAGTCTGTTCCAATTCTCCAACTCTTGACCCCCAAAGTCCCTTCTGAGCACACCTGGCTTTAGGCAGCGTCCACTGTTCTCTCTGATCCGAGGCCCTGGCCCCTCTTGTCTTGCCTCCACCAAGCTATGCCCTGCTTCATAACTAGTGGTGGTCCATCTTGTCTGCAGCCAGGAGAGCAAGGGTTAGGATCCCAAACTCAGGGGGCCCTGGACAGGTTGCCTTGGATGTTTTGGGAATAACCAGGTAGGTAAAAAGTTAACCTTTCTCAGCTTCAGATCAAGAAACTTATGTTGATAAACTACCCTAAGATTGCCCAGGATGATGGGGGTGAATCAAGCCTGGCTCCCGCACCTGGTAGTTCATTCTGAGTCCAGCCCACTCCTGGTCAGCCGTGTGCCCATCCACTATTCCTGTTCTTACTGTGGGCACAGAATTCATCCATATTTTCATTTTTATGTTGAAATCTTTTATCTATTTAAAGGCTACCCTGGAGACCAGGGTGAAGTTAGACCCACCTCTCTTTTTTCAGGATGGCTACCTGGTTGTCCAGCTAATATTTAGTAAAAGGTCCATTATCAGCTTTCATACTTGAAAGGATGCATTTTATCCAGTGGGTTTCCTTGTGGAGGGTTCCTGTTGACAGGTTTTCTGTTCTGTCTGTCCGTCCATCTGTGGGCCCTTGCTAGGCATGCTGGGCTTGTTCCTGAGGCTTAACAGCTGGTCTGGGTGTCAGATTGGCCATTCCTCCCACATTCCTCCTCTTCTCAGGTTCTCTTGGCTTTTCTTGTTTATGTTTTCAGTGTAAACTTTAGAATCAGCTTGTCTGGGTCCAGAAGAAAAACCTCGGGGTGTTTTTATTTGGATCATTAAATTTATAAACTACCTCCAGAAGAACTGACATCTTTACGATGCTGATCTTTCTATCCACGAACACAGCATGTCTTTCCAGTCCACATCCTTCGGGAACGTTTCAAGGTTTTCCTCATGGAGATTTTGCATGTTTCTTGTCTTATCCCAGATATTTTATCTGTTTTGTTGACATTTAAAATCAGACCTACTCTTCCATCCTATCATCTAACTCGTGGTTTTGTATATGGGAAGGTATTGATTTCTCTATACACATTTTTATCTCTCATCCCTACTCAGTTATCAGACTGTTTGAAGTAGTTTGGCATTTGATCTCATATGGACAAAACTGTGTGTAAACCTCATGTTTAAACCCCATGACTAGGCAAGCTCTGAGCAGATTCCAGCACTGCTTCTAGGCCTCCCCACACTGGAACCATGCTCACAAAATTCACTTAGCAAATGACTGAGGCCGAGAAACGGAGGGGCTGTCTTGAGATGAGACACTTGATTATTCCTGTAATGAAATCTGTTTAAATCTGTTCAAAAATCTTATTTGAACAAAACTGAAAACATTTTGTTCTGAGTCAGGGATATAAGTCCTTTAACAAACACTTTCTGACCATGAAGTTGCTCTTTGAAATGCTTTGTAGCCTGAGAAAAGTAACCTGGAGGGAGAAATTACTTTTTTCAGAACTTAAAAATGTCACACCAGAATGGCTATTATTTTTTTTAAGAGGCAAAAATAAGGATGTGGAAAAGAAAATAGTATGGAGGATCCTCAAAAAATTAAAAATAGAACTACCATATAGTCCAGCAATCCCACTTCTGGGTATTTATCCAAAATAACTGAAATTAGGATCTGAAAGAGATATGTGAACTCCCATGTTTACTGAAGAATTACTCATAGTAGCCAAGATACGGAAAAATCTAAGTGTCTCTCAGTAGATGAATGGATAAGGAAAATGTAGCACATACACAATGGAATACTATTCAGCCTTTAAAAAGGAAGGGAATTCTGCAATATGCAGAGAGATGAATAAGAAAATTACCAAATACCAACCTTCAGGGAGTTCAAGGCATGTGCAGGACCCTGAGCAATGATCTATCCCAGGATTGGTGGAAGCAAGGGGCTGCTGAGGGGGACCACAGTCCTAATTAGATGGGGTCAGGAAAGTCTTCAGAGAGATGCTGAGGGGAAAAGAAGGGAGCATTATATATGTACAAGATCATGCCATCAAAAAAATAGCAAATAAGCCTTGATTATGATGTGGAGACACTGAAACCCTTACACATTGCTGGTATGAATGCAAAATTGCTTTGGAAAGCAGTTTGGTGAGTCCTCAAAGAGCTAAATATAGAATTACCATGTATTCCTAGGCATATACCTGAAAATAGGGATTCAAACAGATAACTCATATGCCAATGTTTGCTGCAGCATTATTCACAATAGCCAAATGCTGGAAACCACCTTTGTCCATGAAGAGAGAAATACATAAACAGAATGTAGTAAATACATGCAAAACGAATATTATTCAGCTATATAAAGAATGATGCTCCAATATCAATGCTACAATGTGGATGAACCATGAAAGCATTATGGTAAGTGAAATAAACCAGACACAAAAGGACAAATGTTATATGGTTCCACTTACACGAATATCTAGAAGAGGTAAGCCCACAGAGATGGAATGTAGAGCAGAGGTTACCAGAGGCCAGGAGGAGGAGAGAATGGGGAGTCATTGCTTAGAGGGCACAGAGTTTCTATTTAGAGTGATGAAAAAGTTTCAGAAATAGGGATATGTGGTTGCACAACATTGGAATTAATGCCACTGAATTGTATACTTATAAATGGTTGGAATGGCAAATTTTATATAGTTGACCCTTGAACAACACAGGTTTGAACCACACAGGTCAACTTATATGTGAATTTTTTTTCAAAATATAGACATCAAAAAGAATAAAATACCTAGGAATAAACCTAACCAAGAAAGTGAAAGACCTATACCCTGAAAACTACAAGACACTCTTAAGAGAAATTAAAGAGAACACTAATAAATGGAAATTGATCCCATGCTCTTTGCTAGGGAGAATTAGTATTGTCAAAACAGCCATCCTGCCTAAAGCAATCTACAGATTCAATGCAATCCCTATCAAAATACAGACGGCATTCTTCAACGACTTGGAACAAATAGTTCTAAAACTCATATGGAACCACAAAAGACCCCAAATAGCCAAAGCAATCCTGAGAAAGAAGAATGAAACAGGGGATCTTACTCCCCAACTTCAAACTACTACAAAGCCACAGTAATCAAGACAATTTGGTACTGGCACAAGAACAGACCCACAGACCAGTGGAACAGAACAGAGAGTCCAGATATTAACCAAAGAATGTATGGTCAATTAATATATGATAAAGGAACCATGGATATACAATGGGGAAATAACAGCCTCTTCAACAGCTGATGTTGGCAAAACTGGACAGCTACATGTAAGAGAATAAAACTGGATTACTGTCCAATTCCATACACAAAAAGAAACTTGAAATGGATCAAAACCTGATTGTAAGTCATGAAACCATAAAGACTTAGAAGAAAATACAGGCAAAACTCTCTTGAATATAGATTGAGGGGCAGGTGGCATGGGCGGTGTTGGTGCATGGAGGGGCCACTCCTGCTTGCGCAGCCTGTGCTTCGGTCGGGGACCCACAAGGCCACTGTGTCCTGCGCTCAGAACAATGGGACTCAGAGTGCACGAAGCGGCTGGGCAGTGCTGATTCTGGGGGTGCTGCTGGTGCTGGCACTGCTGAAGGCCACCGAGGTCAGTAGGGACCTTGAGGGATCTGCCAACACAAAGAACCCTGTGCTTCTAGCAAACTCCAGTGCTAAGCCAACAGGGACTACCAGCCACACAACTGGATCTTCCAATAACATTGTGAAACCATCAACAACTCCAGTTTCTTTAGTCTCAAAGAATGTGACAGTCACCCTTGACACCCAGAGCAAAACCATCTACAACTCCAGTTTCCTCGGTCTTAAAGAATGTGACAGTCACTACCTTGAAATCCACAGCAACATCTAAAATGACACCACCAGGAGTCTCAACAAATACAACTTTCATCACCTCAAAGTCTACACCCAAGATAACAAGTGCTTCACAAAACACGTCCAGGTAACCACAACCCACAATAGTTCAGTGACATCTATTTCTTCATCAGTAACAATCACAGCTACTATTAATTCTAAAGAAAATAAAGGATCGGAGTTTGACTCTGGCAGCTCTGTTGGTGGTATTGTATTAACACTGGGAGTTCTATCTGTTCTTCACACTGGATGCAAAATGTATTATTCAAGAGGAGGTATTCGGTATAGAGCCATTGATGGACATGATGCCATCATTCAAGGAAACCCCAGGACCAGTGGAGAGCGTGACTGATGCGGCCCTGTCAGTTAACTGGCTGATTATTTAAAACAATATTCTGTTCTTGAAAATAATATAAGCAGGCAATGCATATAATATACAACGCATTATATAAATATGTAAAGATCTGTGATGATTACTAAAGGTAAAAAAGGTTTGGTTTGGGTTTTTTAATGAATATCCAGAGCATAGTTACTGGAAGAGTTATATTCACTCTAAGGAAATATGTAGTATGACAAGTTTTGTCCCATTTTTTTTGTGGCATTAGTCAGGGCAAGTAATTGGGAGACCTCATCACTGAAGGGCGCACTGTCATGTAAGCATCCACATAAGGAGTTTCTCAGTGCATTTAGGAGTTTTGAGTACCTTTGTTGTGCAAAGAACTAATGCTGTTCAGAGTCGGATATACCCTAATTACTAGTGCCACACAAGAGAAATTATACAAGTAAATCAGCCTTAAGCATCAATATTTTATGTTTTCAAGCTGAGTACTTGGTTTAGGATTCCCCTAGTCCCCCCAAATCAAAGCCAGAAACAATACCTGGGCTTAGTCTTGTTAGCCTGTATTTTTTATTAAGTTCTTTTGAGCTTTCAATAGCAGTTGATATAACTTTTTTCTTCTGTGATTTCAGTGAATTGTGATGTTTAACATGACAAAGACATAGTTGTTATTAGTACTAAAAAGTTAGGTTATTTGCTACTGGGAGAATATTGTCACCACTGGAAATTGCTTTATTTCATATTCAGCTACTTGGTATTCATATTCATGAATATGGTATTTCATATTCATATACTTGGTAAATATTTTTAAGAGATGTAGAGCTGCTTTCAAGATCTACAAATGTTTAGTGCAAACACGTCTAACTTAAACTCTTAGATGATTTCCAGAACATTTAGAACTATACTTGGAACTGTAGGTTAATGTAGTTTGTCAAACCAGGGATTGTCGGTTCCCCTCAGGCTACTAAACCTACAGGATGAAAATGCTGCATTTTCACACACTGCTGATTTTACTCAAGGATTGGAGAAACACAATTTTTATACTAAAATACCGGTGTTTTTGGAATAAATTCACATGAAGTTTTCAAACAGGAATTCTTTAGACAGAAACTTTCTGCATCTTTATCTGGTTTTTCTTCAGACCACTCTCCTCTTCACTTATTGAAGAGACATTATGTTAACAGATGGAAAAATCACAGTATTGTAGGGACACCAATATTAGCCAAATTATTTTGGACTGTGTTCTGTTTTACAGTTTATTTTTACAGCACTCAAAACGCAGGGTCAGGTTTTGACAAAAGTATTTAGTCCTACGAAGTCACACCAATTTTTGACAATCCAAGAGCCAAGATGTCCTAACAAATATGTACCTGTGTTTCATAGGAATTAATGTAACTTGTAATCAGCTTTTGATTTTCAGAGGATGCCATAGGTCAGGAATATTATATAAAAAGATTTCTACTTACTCTGCATTATGGCCAGTTAAAGTGACGAATGTGAATAAGAATTATCCAAAATATGGTTGTAAAGTGTAATGTGACACATGTAGTGTGCAGGAACTATGAACCACATGTGTTTACATTAATTTGAAAAGAGAGGTGGGCCAGTAGCTGAGTTGTATGTTGCTAAATTAGCCCTATTTGCTGTCCTTTCACAAAATGTACTTAAGGTATGTTTTATAGTGACCAGGGCCTTCTAACTTTCACTTGTTTTGTCTCCTGCATTCTTGACATTTCAGTATTTCAAGTGCTGAAAGTACAGGCCTGAAATTTTCTTGAATATTTGTTTGTTAGCACTTTGAAGAAGTAAAACCACTTTTTAAGTACTGAATCTGATTATATGCCTTTAAGGTCGCCTGTGCTTTGGGTTTGAAATACTTTAGTTATGTCTTTTCTTTGTATATAAGTTGTATAATTTGTTACTTTCAAATAGGAGTACTTTGATGCAATTTTTTTGGTTATCTACAAAAGTTGAGGGAAATGATGATGCCAACCAGTATTTCCCAAGCATAAATTCATATCCTTAATTATACTTACTTAAGCAAATGTTCAATTTTGTTCTCATTCCTTAAAAATATATTTACTTGAAGATAAAAGCAATTATCCAGATCTACATCTAAATATCAGGCAGAATCCAGTCTATGATTTTAAAATTTCTTTGGTTAATCCTTAAGATGAATAATTCAGATATACTGACAGTATAATCTTGTATTTTTTCAGAAAAAAAATGTAAAGCAAATTCCTGTTACCTTTCTTTTTACTATAATGACCATCTTTTGGTGTATTTCATTGTTACTGAGATCTATTTTTAGAATAAAATTTTGTTCTCAAAAAAAAAACTCTTGAATATAAACATGAGCAACTTCTTCATGAACATATCTCCTTGGGCAAGGGAAACAAAAGCAAAAATGAACAAGTGGGACTATATCAAACTGAAAAGCTTCTGTACAGCAAAGGACACCATGGTATAGTGGGTGCACTACATCATGTGGGGCTCTGCTGATGGACATCTAAGCTCTTTCCCATTTTAGCTGCAATAATCATTCTCATACAGATCTTTTAGTAAATGTGTTTTCATTTCTCTTTGGTGAATTCCACCTAGACTTGGAATTATGGGGTCAGAGGTGCATAGATGTTTAACTTAATAAGAAACTGCCTGACCTTTTCCCTCGTGTTTCTACCATGAGAATTCCAGGTGCCCCAGAGCTTCGCTCAGAGAATTCGTTTCGTGTGATCAGTCTTTTCAGTTTTGTCCGTTCTGGTGATTCTCGTCGTGCTTTTAATCTGCACTTCCTTTTGACTAATGCTGTTGAGCACTTTTTTTGCTTGCTTGTTGCTCATTTGTACCTTTCTTTGTGAAATGTCTGTTCAAATCTCTTGCTTAACTTGTTTACTGAGTTGTTCATCTTTTTATCGTCAACTTCGCATGCCAATTTGAGGTTCCCAGAAGTAGTCATTCCTGAGTCTGATGGGGCCGGAACTCATGGAGGAAGGAGACGTGGTCTGTGATTGACGTGGGGCACACCAGCCCTTCCTCGGTGATAGAGCCGTAGCTACTCTCACCCTCTGTGCATTTGGTGGCGAGTAAAGACCGGCCTCCCACAGACACAGCCTCGAGGGGAACACCTTCTGAGGGAAGCTCAGAAGCGGCTGATGGGTGAGGTATTGTCACCCACAAAGATGCATGATCTGGTCAGAGAGAACCGAATGCTGAAGGCCAGAAAGCTGGAAGCCTCAAGCGAACTTTGGAACCTTTCTCTTTGAGCTGACAGTGACACTCCCGATAGCTTCTTGACATTTGCCTCTGCTGAGAACAGCAACTGAAGAAAGTTGAAATGCATAAGAAATCAGCTCTTGAAAGTTACTGGACAGTGAATCCTCTTTCTTTCTTTTTTCTTCTTGGTTTGTTCACTGGTGTTTGAGTCATTTGCTGAGTGAATGTGAAAGAAGAGAAAAAGGAACTGGGTCAGAAGTGTCTCTATCTTTGGCCACTGCCGCCTACCAGAACTTCCTCCAGAACCCTCCAACAGTTGGTTTTTCATGATTTTCTCAACCTTAGAGCCCTAAAGTTTAAAAAAGTAAATAAGCAAATAAAAAGGATGGAAACTTACATCCATGCAGAAACCTACACATAGATATTCATAGAAGCTTTGTTCATAATTGCTAAAACATGGAAGCAGCCAACATGTCCTCCAGTAGGTGGATAGGTAAACAAACTGTGTGGTACATCCAGACAATGGACTGTTATTTAGGGCTAAAGTGAAATGAGCTACCAAGCATGAAGCAATGTGGAGGAATCTTAGATACATAGTACTAAGTGCAAGAAAGCTCCAAGATGGAGGGAATTTTGATTTGTTTATTGCTGTATCCCAACATCTGAAACAATGTCTGGCTATGCAGACCCTCAATATTTGATGGGGAAGAAAATGATGGGAAATAGAGGCCCTTCATCTCATCCTGGGACACAGGAAATTAGAAACAAAGGCAGCCTCGGAGGATCAGCTGCGATGTGTATCCCCAGTTCCGTGTCTCTCCAAATGTAGTCCACTAACCAAAATGCTTGTTCCCGGGCCGTGTGCCAGACCTGTTTGATCAGGATGCATTTCCCTATGGGGGGAGTAATCTGCATTTTTTAACAAGCACCCCAAATGATTCTTGTATCGGCTGAAGTTGAGAGCCCTTGGGATGCTAAGTAAAAATGCATAATTTTTAGACCCGTGGAGGTACAGAGGCAGGCTTGGATACCCTGTCATCCAACCCCTTAATATCTATAAATGGAAAAACTGTAGCCCAGAGAAAGGAGCACTTTGCCAAAGGGCCACAGCAAACCACCTCCTGGCTCTCAGGCTTCTTCGGCTGGCATGGCTGAGCAGCCCGCTCAAGCAGTAAGAGACTCTCTCACCTCTGATCAAAAAGATCATTGGCTTAGGCAGCTGATAAATACCGACTCTATTTGGTCAAGGCCAACGAGGTATTTACTTCCTCTGAGGAGGCAGGAGGCAGGGGAAGTCCAAATGATTTTAGTAGGTCTGTTGAGGGTAAATGGTGATGAGGTCACAGAAGGATTCACTTCCCCAAGTTGACGGGAACCTTTTTTTCAGTTTCTCATTTCACATGATATGATTTACTTAGTGTATTTAACTTCAAATGAAATGACCAGATTTCAAATATGCAAAAACTAGAACCACGATATAAGCCCAGGAATACCTGCCACTAATCTCATTTCAGCTTGGCTATGAAGTTGACATCTGATGTTGAGGGACATGGGCACATCGCCTGGCTTGTCTGGGCCCTCCCTGGCCATGAGTCTTCCCAATTTTCATCGTCTATGGTTCCCTGAATCTAACTCACTCTATGATTAGCCTATGGGCAAAAGTCCTGCTGGCTTATCTGTTAAATGGCCCCTGGGAGACAGACTGATGCTAAAATGTGGGCTTGTTCTAGTCCAGGGGAACCAAGTAGACCCAAAGATCTCCGTGGCTGAAGAGAGAATCTGGAGAGAGGTAACGGTCAGTCCACAAAACTGATGAAAATGGAGCTATACCCCAGAAGCTATGGTTTTATGGGAAAATAAGGTAATCTCTGAGCAAGGAGGCGGAGGTGAATGAGGACAAAGGTAGCCCTGAAGGGCACGGTACAGGACACT